CAGGCCCTGACAGGTTACACCCGAGAGTACTTAGAGAGTTGGCAGAGATTCTCTCACGTCCGCTGGCCTCCATTTTTGAGACCTCATGGAGAACGGGTGAAGTTCCAGAGGACTGGAGGGTGGCATCAGTGGTCCCAATTTTCAAAAAGGGCAGTAGAAAGGACATGGGGAATTATAGACTGGTTAGCCTTACGTCCATTGTAGGAAAAACAATGGAAAGGCTCATAATAGAGAGAGATCTAGTGATGCTAGATAGGGAAGGGAGGCTGACAACCACACAACACGGCTTCCACAAAAACAGGTCCTGCCACACAAATCTTGTGGAATTCTATGACAAGGTTTCGAGATGGCTAGACGGAGGGGATGCAGTGGATATGGTATACCTGGATTTCAGCAAGGCCTTTGACAAAGTGCCCCATGATATCCTGGTGGAGAAACTGAGGAGTTTTGGGATACACCAAAGCACTGTCCAGTGGATTAGGGCATGGTTGACTGACCGAAAGCAGAAGGTAACCATTAGCGGGGAATCATCGAGATGGCGGCCAGTGACAAGCGGGGTCCCCCAGGGCTCTGTCCCGGGGCCAATCCTGTTTAATCTTTTCATTAACGACATGGAAGAAGGGGTGAACAGTCTGCTGATCAAATTCGCAGACGAAACTAAAACTGGAGCAGTAGCCACAACTGAGGAGCAGGTACTCCAGATCCAAAAGGATCTGGCCAGACTATGGAAGTGGGCAGGAGACAACAGGATAGCGTTCAATGTGGATAAATGCAAGGTCTTGCACTTGAGTCATAGGAATAGGTGTCATAAGTACAGGTTAGGTGACAAGTGGCTGGAGAGCAGCACTTGTGAAAGGAACCTCGGGGTACTGGTTGACTGCAGGCTAAACATGAGTCAGCAGTGTGATGCAGTGGTCAAGAGGGCGAATGCCACCCTTGGTTGCATAGCCAGAAGTGTGGCTTCTAGATCAAGAGAGGTATTACTACCACTCTACATGACTCTGGTGTGCCCGCAACTGGAGTATTGTGTTCAGTTTTG